CTGAGACAGAGAAGCATTGATCAGACTGTCAAACCTCAGAGGGAAGGCAGAGGAGGGTGGGGGAAAAGGGGATAGATTAGCCAAAAGACTTGTATGCATGCATATAAGCATAACTAATGGACACAGACACTAAAAGGGTGAGTTCACAAGCAGGAGCGGGGCATTATGGGGGGGGTAATGGAGAGGGTAAGGACACATATATAATACCTTAATCAATAAAGATAAATAAATAAATAAATAAATAAATAAATAAAGGCAAAAATGCAAAAAAATATGTCTATAGTCTTTAATGGAGAATCAGACCAATACTGAAAACTCCAAGGCCAATTTTTCTTCCTTCTTTCCTTCCTCCCTCCCTCCCTCTCTCCTTTTCCTCCCTACTTTCTTCATCTTTCTTTTTTTTTTGTTTTAGACTTCAAAAATAGAATTTTGAAAAGGTTTTACTAAGTGAACACTAGTCTCCTTTCCCAATAATAATTTAGAAAAACACTCTAATTGTATATTTCCCCAGTTGACGTACACATATATTATCCACTATGAACTTTATTTTTAAACATATTTTTATTGATTTCAGAGGGCAGGTGAGAGGGAGAGAGAGATAGAAACATCAATAATGAGAGAGAATCATTAATTGATTGCCCCCTGCATGCCCCACTCTGAGGTTTGAACCTGCAACTCAGGCATATCCCCTGACTGGGATTCAAACCGTGATCTCCTAGTTCAGTGGTTGGCAAACTCATTAGTCAACGGAGCCAAATATCAACAGTACAATGACTGAAATTTCTTTTGAGTCAAATTTTTTAAACTTAAACCTCTTCTAACACCACTTCTCCAAAAATAGACTTTCTCAGGCCGTGGTATTTTGTGGAAGAGCCACGCTCAAGGGGCCAAAGAGCCACATGTGGCTCATGAGCCACAGTTTGCCAACCACTGTCCTAGTTCCTAGGTTGGTGCTCAACCACTGAGCCACGCAGGCTGGGCTTCACTATGAACTTTAAGACAAACATAAATAACCAAGCCAATCCGAGTGCATGCTCTCCACACACCTGGAAGTCTGGCCTGGAAGTAGGGACACTAGGGAGAAATCTCTATTTTGGATGTAGGGGAGTGAGGATAGATGTAGCAGTGTAGAATAGCGTGTCTGGTACCATCTTAGCTGCTTTTCACCTCTTCTAAGCCATCGCAGTCCATATATTAAAGGACTGTGGAAACTCAGTTCAAATTTTCCTCTGCTTCATTCACTAAAAGCAATTAATGGCTGGTACACAGCCCTGCTCCGGCCTGTAGGAGGGAGACTCCCAGCCAGCTCACCTTGTAGAACACATGCCTATGGTTTGCATCTTGACTAGGGCTGCATACAAGATGCACATATGTCTAGCCTGGTAGCTTAATAGAGTGTTCCATTCTTGACCTAAGTGTGCTCTACTGGCCACAAGATGGAAGAAGTCTACCTTTACGTAGCTAGAACAATTGAAGAGCAAGACAAAAATTTGCAGAAAACAGAAAATCACAGGTAAAGGGGAAATGCTATGTGAACCCCACCCTCTCAAAGCCAAGATGGCCAAGATAAATGTTATTAGAGGAAGATGGGCAGCCAGAGACAGGGAGGCACAGACTCCAGCAGTCATAAACATGTGATTCTGCCAGGAGTGAATCACTAGTGAAAGTTGCAAAAAAGAAGGTTCAAATTGGGCGATGGTAGGAACATGCAACAAAGTATCTTACACAATTAACCAGGAATTGTTTGCTTAAAGGAACAGTATACTGTGTTTTTGTTTGTTTGTTTGTCTACATATTTCAACATGCATGTAATTAAATAAGAATATAATACATGTCTAGCCTAGCTTCTGTAATAGAAATGAGTGTTGAAAAGATAAATGTTATTTAATTTCTATCTGTCACACTTTCCTTACTTTTTTTCATTGTTTTCTACAAATTGCTTCAGTTATATTTCCAAGTCGAGTTTAACCTTTCAATTTACCAACACATTTCATTTTAAATAATAGCATGAGAATCTTTCAAAAGCGTATTACATATTCTTCTTCACAATTTAGGGTATTTCCAAAGGACATCAATTATTTTTCCAGACTATAGTTATGACATTAGAGGCATTGCTCATTCAGGGTGATATGCTCCTGTTTCAAAAAAACTGCATTCCATAGCATTCCTGAGATTTTCTATCTATTTTGTTGTTGCTTTTCCTTGTCCTCCTCTTCCTTCTAAGCTGTATTTTACACATCCAACATGCCCCCATTTTTTAGTCCTTTTGCTATCTGATTTCATACTGTAACAAATGATAGCATGTAGCCCAGGGCCTGAATGGCCCAGTGGTTGAGCATTGACCTACGAACCAGGAGGTCACAGTTTGATCCCTGATCAGGGCACATCCTGAGTTTTAGGCTTATTCCCCAGTTAGGGGTTTGCAGGAGGCAGCCAATCAATGATTCTCTCTCATCATTGATGTTTCTGCTTATCCCTCTCCTTCCCTTTAAAATACATAAAATATATGTATTTTTGAAAGATAGCATGTAGAAAGAGAGAAAAAGGCCGTGAGTATCTAGTAGCTCCCAAATAATAACATGGCTTTGATAGTTCAAATTACTAATGTAAAAAGGCCTTAGGCAGGCACCACATTTAAAAGCACAGTGCTGGGACCGTTACTCATGTGACAAATTATATTAGATCCATAATACACACACAAAAACCCAATTCACGGTACATTAAACCTAAAAGTACATATTAAACTTTAAAATATTTTTACAAGAACAACCATTAGAATTAATAACTCATGTTAGTAAGGTAACAGACTACACTTATGCTTCCATATACCAGCTATAAACAATGAGGAAAAACACACACACTGTAAAACTTAAAATAATGTGTAGGAGAATAGCTCTTTTATTTCAGGAAAAGTAAATGTTTATTAAACAAATGTAAATAAAACAAGAAAAGGAAAAAATTATGTTTTAACATTTCTGCTCATGAAAACAGGCAATATCTAAATATAAGGAACTACTTGACATTGAAACGGGGACTCAGAACTGTTGGACATTGAAACTGGGACTCAAACATCTTTTGTTATTATATGATTATTTCTAGTCTGCAAAGGCAAGATTTTTTAAAGGAAAGAAATGGGAAAAAATAGATACAGAGGCAAAGAAGCATTGAACAGACTGTCAAACTACAGCAGGAAAGGCAAGGGAGGTTGAGGTGGGGCTGTAAGATATGAATGATGGACTTATAAGCATGCATATAAACAACCAATGGATACAAAGCATGGGGGGAGAGGGGAGGGCAGGTACAGGGGGGTAGGGGAAGCCAGAGCAGGGTCAGTGGGGGGAAGAAAAGAAGACATATGTACTACTATTTGTAATACTTCAAACAAAAAATTGTTCATTAATTTTAAAAAATGAAAATAAAAAGCTAGGTGAACTCTTATGTCCGTCTTAGGTTCTCCTAACTCTGAGTCTTGCACAGTTTTCTGCACAGACACCCAGGCATACATGAGAATATTGCAAAACCCTTATTCTCCAAAGTGGCTCACTTCCCAGTCCTTCTTCCCAGGATTTGGGCCTGTCTTGCTGTTTTTAATACATTATGTTCCCATCAATATATTAAAAAAAATACATTTTCATTGATTTCAAAGAAATAGGGAGAGGGAGAGAGATAGAAATATCAAGGAGAATCATTGATCGGCTGCCACCTACATATCCCCTACTGAGAACGGAACCTGAGACCTGGGTTTGTGCACTGACCAGGAATAAAACTGTGAGCTTCTGGTTCATGGGTCAATGCTCAACCACTGAGCAACACCAGCTGGGCAATGCCTGCCAATATTTTTGAAGCTCATTCTACGTGTAGCCGATTTTCTTCCCTTGGAGTGTTTGGAGTTGGGTGGAACAAAAGCAATAAATCCCCTTGTGTCAGACCCTCAGGGAGCCCCCCAGACAGGTTCAAACAGATGAACATAATTCATTTGGTAATAAAGTGTGCTCTCCTGTCTCCAGAACCAGGGGACCACACTTTGAATGCAGGCTGCCACCTTCAAGACCACTGCTATGCCAGGGAGGGGAATGGGCAGGAACATGTGACAATGCCACAAAACTCTCCTTATTCAGCATTTGTTGGCTGCCAAGAATGTTTGACTATCTTCCAGAGTTCCAATAAACTTGATTCCAACAGCTTTTCCGTGTTTTCAGTGTTTGTGGAGAGAATTGACCTCCAGAGTCCCCTACTCCTCCACTTTCACCAGCATCATTCAGTTCTGTGAGTGATATTTTGAAGTTTAAATCTTTATGTGAACATCTTAATTGAACCGTGTGTACTTTTTTTTCTGAAAGGAATAACAAATCACAAGAAGGACAAAAGCAGAAATTTCTCCAGCACTAATAAACTTGCGAAAATAATTTTTAAAAACTTAATATACAAGAATTATTCTCCAAAATTTCTAAAAAAACAAACAAACAAACAAAAACCTCCCTATGAATGAATAAAATTAAATAAAATAAAAATAAGCTATTTTAAAAAAGAGGTAAAGGTTATTCATGTAAGACAGTTCCTAGAGGAAAAAATCCAACTCTGTGTGTGTGTGTGTGTGTGTGTGTGTGTGTGTGTGTGTGTTTGAAAATGTGTTAGACTTCATCAGTACTTAGAGACATGTAAATAAAAACCACAATATGAAAAAAAAAATTATCTCTCCCACCCTCCCTCTCCTCTTCTCTCTTGCACCTCTCTCTCTCTCTCTCTCTCTCTCTCTCTCTCTCTCTCTCTCTCGCACACACACACACAGTAAATGTTGCTGACAACAAAGGACAACAGAATAACTTGTGCCTGTTTGAGAGAGAGAACAACCTACTCTATCTCTCAATCCTCTCTACACATACACTGAAAAATATAAGGATTAAAATGCTGTTGTACCTTGTTATAAGAACAAAATATCCATTGCTGTAAGAATAAATATCCCTATGTGGTTTTGCTCAGTGGATAGAGCATTGACCCAATCTGGGTTTGATTCTGATCAAGGCCACATAACTCAGTGGCAGGTTCCCCTGCCCTGGTCGGGGTGCGAGCAGGAGGCAGACAATCAATGCATCTCTCTCACAGCCATGTTTCTCTCTGTCTCTCCTCTCCTTTCTCTAAAAGTCAATAGAAAATATCCTTGACTGAGGATTTTTAAAAAAATGAATAAATAATTAAATCATGGGAGAATATGTTGAGCCCATCAAATTGGCTTGATCATGTTTTCTTTCTTGAGCTGGATACTGAAAATATAGATGTTCATTACATGTTCTTGATCATTTTTAGACTATTAAAATATATGTAATCACTTAAAAAGTAAAAACAGAGTATGATGTAAAATAAAAAAGAAGATTTGAGTTTGAATCCCTATCTACTATTTAATGCTTATATAAACTTGAGAAAATCACCTAACTTCTGTATATTTGTCTATTTCCAGTAAATAATAAAACAAATTAGTTTTTGTAATCATATTTATTATAATTGCAGTATTATTATTATTATTATTATTATTATTACTTGGGCAAATAATTTATACTGACTGGTTTCTTTGAAAATGAGAGTTTGAACTATATTAGTTTTAAGGAGACTTCCCATTTAACATTCTAAAATTGTATTATAACTTGAATTAAATATTGGAAAATAAAATAATGATGTTTATTGGCTTGGACAATGCAATAATAAATAATGATCATAATACATTACTTATGATGAAAGTTTAAACATGGAAAAGTAACACATTTAATACCGTGCAGGGCTAAAATTATTAACTTCAATAGCCATTGTTATGAGTTTGAATCACTTTATGCTGAAAAATGAATCAAGAAAGCTGGAAATGAATTGGCCAAATGCCTCTAAGTGAGTACAAGTTATTTAAAGATAATACTAAATGACATAAAGGATGATCAACACATTTCAACACAACTGCTTATTTAGTGATGCCAGAACTTCTGGGAATATATTAACACATGAGATGAGACAATACTTTGAACTCAAGTGTTAACAACTGAAAAATTAACTAGATTTTCCCCATCATAATCAGAAACGGAGACTAACAGCACAAAAAACAACCCTTTGACTCACTCATAAGAAGTAAATTCACCTTTGGTGGTTCTGGAACCTAAATATAAAAACTCTATAAGGAGTCCACAGAAACTACCCTGTAATGAAACCCTCCTTTGCAAATTTGTTTAAAGGTGACCAACTATGATTCTATTCACTAAAATGTGATAATCACAAGACAAAAGCAACTAACAAGCAATCAGAGACAAAGTACGTTAAAGTCAGGACTCTGGAGTAAACCTGTCTGGAATCAAACCCTGCCCCATCATTTCCTGGCTAAATGAATTCAATGTCTTCATCTGTAAAATATCAATAATAATAACAACATTTCTCATATGGGTTTCTGCAGAATTGGATGAGTATGTATGATGTGCGTAATAAGCAGCAGGTATCTCTCTTCAACAACTTAGCAATGGGTAGCTGCTATAGCTATGTGTTGAGGGGGAAATATATGTGAGTATCTGAGAATGTTATAAATAACCTTAAAAAGCCAGAATGCTCTATTATCTATTTATATATCTTAAACTTGTCTTCCTAGAGCTCTGAATCACAGAGGTTATTGATTATAAAATTTGGCAGGTTTATTAGGTAGTTGTCTCTGTGGCCAAAATTGCAGTAACTTTGTCTTAGAATATTTTACTATAATTTATAAGTGACCTATTCTTTCTTTTTACTTTTACATTTCTATATTCATGAATCTTCTCCAGAACCATTTCTGTTATCTGGTTTGGATTTTTTTTTTCTTTAGATGAACAAGATTTTATTTATCTTTGTCAAATAGCCTACTTCTGTTTCTTCTACTTTCAAAATCCTTAAATTAATTTCTCAGTGATTATCCATTATTTTAAAGGCATACTTTATTAGTAATGTTTATGTTCACAAATAAAGTATGTTTTCTCTATTCAAATGTGGAGGAAAATGAAATACTCTGATACATTGTAGGGAGATGTCAAGTGTAATGTTAGTCAACCACACCCAACCAAATTCCTCAAATTTTTGTTTATCTTCATAATACAATTTCAGAATCAGAGGTTTTAATACTCAGAGGAATAACAGCAGTCCTCTGATGCAAACTCCTCATTTTTACATGAGAATCTCAGTGCCTGCATTAGTTGGGTAAATTAATCAAGTGAACTGGGATTATACACCAAATCTATTGACTAAATTCTGAGTCATTTCTGATAAAACATGCCAGTAAAACAAGCATATGAGTCAAGTGCCAAACTGCAGATCACTTTTTAAAATAAATCCAATATGTCCTCAATGATTTATTTCTTCTACCTTGTTAAGAAAATTTTGACTATGTGTTATGAAACTTTGATACTTAATATTTTTTAAGATATTCAAAAGTTTACCATTAAGTAACTTAAAGTCCAACTTAGACTAACTTTTTACACAAAATCAAGCTAAAATTTTAATGTGAAAGCCATACATATCTCATTTATTCCAGTGACATAACATTATTAACCACAAATAAGTTAATAATCCTTTCTATCACAAATCTGTGTCTACTGGCTCTAAGTTTTTGAGATAATGTTTATATCTGTGTTTTAGAAACTGTTGAGTACTATAGGTAGCTTTTTACCTCCTGGGACTCCCATCCTAGGCACACTTTAAGAGTAGTCAATTCTGTGTGATATAGATTAAAGAAAGATTGATAATTCTTTGATGGTGTGATTTTTATTGGTGGTGATGGGATGGTAGTCCTGGTGGTGAAGTTGGTGATGGTGTGAAGGAGGAAAAAGTTCTATTTTTTTTCACACTTACCATTAGAAGTGCCAGAAATGTTCTCTTAGAACCTGAAAGTTACAGTATCGCATCAACACTATGGCATCTTTACCTTGCATTATCACTCTTCTCTTGCTTTGTGAGGTGGCTTATCTCTTCTCATCTTCCAAGTCCTACAAAAATGACCTTCCACAGAGAAGAGTGCTCTATAAAATAAAATAAAATAAAATAAAATAAAATAAAATAAGATAAAATAAGATAAAATAAAATAGCAAATCTGCTCTCCCCATTGCCTCTCTATCTTATTACTCCACTTTATTTAATTTATAACCCTGTGGTCTTAGGCATGTGACATTTCCTTTTCAAGTTTTAATTTTATTAGCTACAAAATGGGGATGACTCTAATGTCCCCTTTTCAGAATTGGTATGAAATTTATAATGGAATAAAAGGTATGAGATACCTACTAAAACTCAATAAATGATAATAATTTTATGATTTTACCCTCTAAGTTGAAAAACACAACAGTTAAAATACCGTGTTTGCTACTGATGAGGTAAAATGACATTAACGACACAACATTTAACTTCTATTTCAGGTCACTAACCTATACCTGGTAAGTATTAACATGACAGAGGGACATGTCAGTGTTCTTTCTTGGTTTATGTCACTTCTGTCATGGATTGAGGCATCTCTTGAAAGGCCCCGGATCAGTAAGCCAAACCAAAACCACTTTTTTTACTTTGATTCTGGCCACACATTTGGTGTTCCTACAAGTCTGAGGGAATTAGATGTAAGTGAAACTGTACAAACAGGTAATTCCTGGCCTTTATTTTACTTGTTCCTTCCCAAGTTGTATTATCATGTGGTTTATGTCCTCTTATTTCTCTGCCTAGTGAAGGGAAAGCACTGCTATTAATGGAGAAAAATACTAACAGGCCAACGTCACACATTTTTGGTTTGCATGGTTGTATTAGCCTTCAAAGGATAATGTGACATCTCCAGTCAGTGGCAACTAAACATGTTTCTACATCACTCGTTTTATCTTCTGGAGTCACTGGGCAGGATTATGCCTGTGTCTCCTGTCATAACATTCATTGCACTTTACAGGGATTCATTGTGCAAAAGTCTGTCCTCCTTTCTACAAAGAGACTTCCACACCATTTCTCAGCACCTGTACAATGCACTAATGGTTAAATGAACACATTAAAAAGCCATGGGTTCATAAATAAATGAGCACAGCAGTGGAAGGAGGGAAGGAATCAGCTGCATCTTCCCATGTTGAGGGCTTCCTAGAGAAAGAGAATGTCCTAAGCCCAAGAAGGAGAAGAGGAAATCTCTAGCTGAGCTATCATTGATGTAGTCAGAAACAACTCATGCTGGACACAAATCTTGAAAGATGAATTATGCTGAGAATGTGAAAGTGACAATTAAGGGAAAAGATTCTCATGAAAAGGATTCCGTAAAGGACACCAAGGTGAAGTAAGCCATCAGATGGATGAGGAGTCAGAAACCCCAAGAAACTGTGGAGTGCTAGGGACCCAAGACAAAGTGAGGAAAGAGAAATAATTTGGGAAAAGCAGATTAGAGAAAGAGAAGGTTCTATTTCAAATCCAGAATCCCAGAAGAAAAGATTACAAAAAGATGAAAATAGAATTTGTAAAGCATGAGAAAATAGCTTAAATTTCTGAGAATTCAAATGAGAGCCAGGCGAAGCAGTTAGTCTTGAAAATTAATATTTTTCTTAAGAATTATATATATTTCTTTACAATTATATATATTTCTTTAAAATTATATATATGTTTATTTAAAATTATATATATTTCTTTAAAATTATATATATTTCTTTAAAATTATATATCTATATATCTATATCTATATCTATATCTATATCTATATCTATCTATATCTATCTATCTATCTATATATATATATATATATATATATATATTTCCCTGGTCCTGAGGGATTTATGTTGGTATTTTCTCATAGTTTTATATAGAAGATTGGGCCTGTTAAAAAAAAAAAAAAAAGAGCATATATAAAATGTAAAAATGTGCCAATGGGAACAGTAAGGAAAAGACTAAGAAGGAATAAGTAGTAAATTAAAAAAACAACAACAATGACTGAGTTTTGAGGTTTTAAACAAACAAAAGTAAACTGGTTTGCATCACTGTCCTATTTGGAGACACATAAAAATATTACTAAAGCATTTGCAAAGCAAGGAAAAACATACTTGAACAGATTTTCTTCTGAACTTTGTGTTTGTCCACAAAGTCATTGCCATTAAACAAAGAAAACTGATATAGCGAGGCTTCAGTTAGGTTGCTGAGCTATTATTCACCACATATAGCAAAAAAGAAAAAAACAAAAAAACGCAATCGAAAAGGAAAAAAAAAAACCAACTTTACAATAAGCTCCATTTCCCCCCACCCCTCCCCACCCCCACTATTAAAAACTATGATTTCTTGCTGTTTACCACTTGCCATAAACCAGCTACTTTTCTCAGTAGCAATAAAACTCCTTTTGGAAGGGAGACATTGTAAATTGTGCTGCCCACTGCTGACAGCAGAGATTTTTTAGAGAGCTCAGTTTTCACTCACACACAAAACAATGCCAGGGCATGAAAAGTTTTGTAAGCTCAAAGCCCTATTCATTTCTCCGAGAGTTGTATCATATTTATGTTAATTACCTATTCACTCCACTTGGAGAGAAAACTCTGCTTTCTGAACAGAGAATATAAATAAGGAAATAATTACTACCACTGTCTATCAATTTCTTTTATCTGTTGATAAACGGATCACTGTATGTTACTTGTAGCAGGCATTTCAAAGTTATCTGAGGCTTGATTTATCTGACAAGGAAAATTCCGAGACCTTAGACAAAGCTGAGTAATAGAAGTGAAACTGAGAAGTTGCATCCCAAATGGAGGGAATAAGCCGAAGTGGGAGAGAAACAAAATAGCAACAGTTCTTGGTCTGTATCTTTCACCACAAGCAGTATTTTGATAACCTTAGGAAAGAAAAAAACAACAACAACAATTCACAGAATAGTTAAGACACCTCCCTGAATAATCAGAAAGGGCGGAGGGGCGAGTAGAAAACAGAATGCTACAGGATTTTGCAGATGTTATTGTTTTTGTTGTTTTCAACACATTGTTAGAATGGCATTTCAGTGATAACTCTCATGAGGCACAGACGATTATTTACAAAAAGCAACATTTGGAAGTTCTTCCTATGCAAACAAATGCTCATGTGGTGCCATATGAAAATAATTTAAAACAATTACATTTGTTATGAAGAATCAAAGTCTAATAGGCCTTTTTTTCATGAGCGGTTTAAAATTTTTAAAAGACCGAGGTAAACCAAGGAAGAAGAGAATTACTTTTACAGTCAGAATATGTGACAAAAGTCAGAGGACCGGAAGAAACTATAGTTTGTGTAACAGAACTATCTACCTAAGGCAGGAATGTCCTCTTGATCCATGCTTCAATGTGCATAGCAGTTACCCGAGGACCCTGTTAAAATGCAGGTTTCAGATGGGCCCTGAGATTCTGCATTCCTAACAAGGTCTCAGGCCATATAGCTCTTCTGAGAAAATGCAAAAATTGTCTAATTGGTCTATCATGAACAGTTTGCATAGGAGGAGGCAAATTTGGGGCAATCAAACTGCTTTCCTTTCATTAAGTCAAAATTTGCCTTTCAATAAATCCTATCCATTGATCCTAGTTCCAGCTTTCAGAGTTGGAACTACTGCATCTAGTTTCTCTTATACCTGAAATAATAAACTCCAGAAATGTACCCCCTTGAATCTCTTCTTTGTGAGAAAATTGCATCTCCAATAAAGCAATGGTTTTGAGTCCTTTCTGCTGTCTTGCTTGCTCTGTACTGAATATGTCTCCAGGTAGAATGTTCATCTACACTTGAGGCCCAAATACATGAACACAAGACTCCAGTTCAGATTGGGTTGGCAGTTATGATGGTTCCACTGATGATCCTGTGTTTCTATAAGAACTGTCTACATTTGTGTAAAACTCATGGACTCAGCCCAAAGTACACTGCACACATGCTTAATGGCTTCCTAGAAAACAGCTCTTTCTTAAATGGAAATGATTAAGTAGCTAAACTATTAATTAAATAGCTAACCTTTTCTTTTTGGCATGGTGAACTGTCATGAAAATTTTCTCACTGGAATCATCACCTAGTTCACAGCCTCATTCTCTCCCTTTCCCTGTCATTACTCTCACACTGCAGCCTTACAAGTCTTAAAACTTCTGAACTCCGGTGACCTTCTGCTCCACTCCTACTGAACCATTCTTTGGCATGTCTGCACCCTGGTTGTGTCATCCTTTGAAACCGCTTCTCTCCAAGTTCTCATAGTCTGACCACTGCTTCAACCTGGACACGTGCTCCTGCCTAATGCACAGACCTAATTTGTGTCTCCATTGTGACCCTCACACCCTCAATTTCCCCATGCTGTCATATGTCCACATGATTTCATTTTCTCTCAACCCAGTTTGCAACTTCTTGTTCAAACAGTGTGAGATGCTTCTGGCAGTATATCTGCAATGCTTTGTGCAGGGTCCACACACATTTCCCCCGATTCTAGCTCTGGGATATCCTCATCTGTTTTCTTTACTCTACAAAGGTGCATGGCTGCCAGAACCGGTTTGGCTCAGTGGATAGAGCTTCAGCCTGCAGACTGAAAGGTCCCAGGTTCGATTCCAGTCAAGGGCATATACCTTGGTTGCAGGCACATCCCCAGTGGGGGTTGTGCAAGAGGCAGCTGATCGATGATTCTCTTTCATCGATGTTTCTGACTCTCTATCTCTCTCTCTTCCTCTCTGTAAAAAATCAATAAAATATATATTTTTTTAAAAAAGGGTGCATGGCTGGGGGAGGTAGGAGGAAGTAGGCAGGAGTCTTCACATTACTGATTTCATTAGAAATGCCAGTGATCCAGACTTCATTTTAATTCTAGATTTCACTCTCTGTAGCAACAAAGCAAAATTTTCAACATCTTGACGTTTCCAACCTTTCCTGGAATCATAAATGTCAGCAGTTTGAACGGATGATCTCACTGACAATTCACTGAAATAGCAAGCCTACCTGGCATTGGATCTCCCAGCTTCCCTGCTCTCCTAAGGCTGTGTTTATATTTTGCATGCCTTTTCCTCCATCAATCCAACCTCCTCAGAGGGAGACGCTCCCTTTTATAAATACTAAGATTAAAATGAGTACGTATTTCTACTTAACACTTTCCTGCCTAGAACAATGTGTTTTTCTATCCATTATGCCTTCTGGCGTGATTTTCAGTCTCCTGAAAATACTAGGTTTATTGCTCTACCCAGACACATGTTCAAAATTTTATAACCTTCTATCGACTAGTTTTCTTTGAAACCCTTGCAGTTTGACTCTTTTTCATCATCTTCCAAATCACCATCTCACACACTAAAATTAATATGTTGAAAGTCATCTCCAATCAAGTTTAATATAATTTTCTCAATTATGTTGTTTTGTTATCCTTTCCATAGCATTTTATATTACTGACTAGAGGCCTGGTGCATGAAAATTTATGCACTGGAGTGGGGGAGGTCCCTTGAGATCAGGGGAAGGTGAAACCCCATCACACCTCTGCTGCTGCCACTGCTGGCAGTGCAAGCCTTGGCTGGCCCTGGTTACCTGAGCCTTGGGAGTTCTGGGCACTGCCATCTTGTGGCTGTGGGCACCCCCATTTTTGAGGGTGTGGCAGTCAATTAGTATATTATCTCCTTATTGGTGTGGGTGCTGCCATCTCTGAGGGTGTGGCAGTCAATTAGCACATTCACTCCTTATTGGCTGTAGGCTCCACCATCTTTGCAACAGCACTAGGATCAATTATCATATTCCCTCTTTATTAGATAGGATTTCCTATTCTCTTTTAAAGTTTTTTTTTTTGTTTGTTTTGTTTTGTTTTTTTGTTTTGTTTTTTTGCCAAAACTGGTTTGGCTCAGTGGATAGAGCGTCAGCCTGTGGACTTAAGGGTCCCGGGTTCGATTCCAGTCAAGGGCATGTACCTTGGTTGCGAGCATATCCCCAGTAGGGAGTGTGCAGGAGGCAGCTGGTCGATGACTCTCTCTCATTGATGCTTCTAACTCTCTATCTCTCTCCCTTCCTCTCTGTAAAAAATCAATAAAATATATTTTTTTTAAAAAGTTTTTTTTTGTTTTTGTTTTTTATAAATACATTATATGGAGTTATTCTTGCTCTTCTATTCTTCTGCTTTTACGTGCAATTAATTTTAAAATGTACCAAACAGCAGATGATTTTTCCTATTTCTTTCACTTCTTATTTAAGGCTACATTCTCAACCATCTTGTCCCTATGACTGTCCATTAGGGTGTATGACAATGACTGCCACATCTATATTTTAGCGCACATTTCTTTATAATATCAGAGACAGAAAGGAATCAGTCCCATGCAATAATTCCACATGAAAAATGCTAAGCTTTCACCAAATGTAACTGACAGATGAAATTGGTTATCTAATGTTTACCCTGTATACACAATAAATGCAACATACAAATTCTGGTCAAAGATTGATGTGTGTGGTCTTCATCTTGAACTCCTTCCCTTTTAACTTTTAGACCCATTAATCCTCTGAATCAAAACAATTGCTTTTCTGTGGTGCTGGCATTGGGAGCAATGGGGTGATTTAGTGAAAAGAAATTTATTCAAAACATGAAGGTTTATGTTTAGATGTTTGGTTTATTTTTAGACTTTGGGAACTTTCTACTGGATTCTCCATGCATTCAGAGTAAATTCTCAATTTGTTTTACTCTGGCCCAGAGGCCCTGTTCTTGGTTACTCTCCCACCCCATCCACTGCCATGCTTCCTTACCTCAATGCCATCCAGCCACACTTCTAATCAATTTACCTATCCTTGCATTCTTGACTGTTTGCTTATCTCTTTATGTGTGACCAACCACATCTTCTGCAACAGAAGTTCCTGGAAGTTTTTTTTTTGTTTGTTTGTTTGTTTTTTATCTGTTTTTGTCACCATTACAATGCTTAGTCTCTAGAACAAGGTATAGTATATAACAAATATTCAAAAATGCATGTGTAAAGTAGACATATAAATTGATTCACTAATTGGTCAGTCAGTCAATAATCAAGATAATCCTTTGGAAACATTTCGATTATCCATCACTTGTAGAGTCCAACAGCACTAGATGCTGCCTATGTGATAAATGTGGTTATTTGTACAAAATTTCAATAAGCATTTTCAAAGTATATATTGAAGACAGACAACTAAAATTAATTTTATTGTTACGTAGCCACTACATTAAGTGTTGTTGTACAGATTTTACATCTTTTTCAAAATAGAAAAGAAAATAATAGATAGGGCCGAGAATTCTCTATCCCCTAGCCTCTTAAGTCCTTTAAATACTGTATAAAAGCCTTTTCTTTTTATTTTGTTCTACTTTACATATCACAATTAAAGTCTGTTTAAAAACATGAACTTTGCCTGGGATTCAAAGAATTTAACTATTAGACTGACACTTTAGAACTTAAAATTTTAATACTTTAGAGTTTAAATTTTCATTAACAGAGAAAGCAATTTTTTGATCAATTTGTTTTCATTCAATATGAAAAAAATATATCATCACTGATTAAAACACCTGACAATGAGTTCATGTCAATCTTACATACTATTTATCAAGTACAAATTAGTAACTCAGTGAAAGGCCACTGCTAAATTAATCAATTTTCTAAATAATAGAAATGCCTATTCATAAATAGAAACATAAAATGCAAAATTTTGTTTTTAAGATATATATAAAAAGAGCAGCATTTTGTTTTAAAACTTAAAATTTGCTACTTAAAACAATACTATAAATTTTATATTAAAACACACGCATTAAATACAGCTTTTCTTCCTGGAAAAATAATAATATTTAACATAAAAAGTTTCCTTGAATTACTGAGGTAAAATGTACAAAATGGATTAATTACTTATAGCCTGCAGAGCTTAGATTTCCCACTAAAAAAATAGCTAAAGACAAGGACCATTGTATTTTCTAATTATGCTACTTCTAGAACACTGCAGGCTTTGCTACTGCACCCACTTTTTAGCCACCTTTTTAAGGCCCCAGGCCTTTATCTTTAGCTTGTAAAATGGGTACATTTCCAAAACACACTGGTAAAAACCTCACATTTTATTAAGTATAGCCCTTGGAAAGGAACTTCAGAATCATACAGCTTAATTTGCCATTTTATGGATAACGTGAAGATTTTAGTTCAGTGGAATAAGTTAAGCAGGTGAGAGTGATATCATTTTCTGTCTTTTATTAGTTTTCTTCCTAAGGCTGCCTTACCAATATTACGACAAGGTAAGTTAAAACAACAGAAATTTTTTCTCTCTCACACATTTCTTTAGGCCAGAAGTCTAAAATCAAGGGCATGAACCTAGGCTATGGAAAAGCCTATTTTAGTTTTTGGTGGCTTCTAACATTCCTGGACTCATGTCCACATAACTCCAAGCTCTACTTCTGTCTTCACATCACCTTCTCCTCTGTGTGTGCATCTTCTCTGTATCTCTCTTACAAGGGCACTTGACACTGGATTTAAGGTCCATCCAGATAGTCCAGGATGATGTCCCCATAGTAAAATCTTTAATTTAATCACAGCTGCAAAAGCCCTTTTCCAAGTGAGGTAGCATTCACAGGTTCCAAGGAGTAAGATGTGAATATCCCTTTTTGGGGGCCACCATTCAACAACTGCAAGCCAATGTGGGAACTTCAAAGTAGTAACAGTAATAAGAATATTCTTATTCACTTCCATAGTAACTGTATCCTCCTCAAGGTGCTTTCATATGCATCCTCTCACTTTATCAACAACCTAGACCTCCCTCATTTTACAATGAGACAACTAAAGCTGAAAAAAAATGACCTTAGAGGAAACACAAGGCTAATTAATAACAAAGAGGTAGGTCCCACCCACCCACCTGGGGCTCTGTGATAGATCGCCATTGCAGTGGGAGGCCTTGCCCACCTGCAGCCTGCCAGTTGGTGGCCTGGTCCTCCTTCTTTGGGGTGATCATGGAGCCTCCTGATTGATTGATAACCTCACCAGCCAGTGGCCTGGGCTTCTCTCTGCAAGGCAATCATGCGATTGATCACACCTCCACAGAGAGAGGCCCCACTCACCTGCCCCAGCCCACTGGTCAGTGGTGTGGGCCTCCTTCTTTGGGGCAATCCTGGAGCCCTCTGATTGATCTATCGCTCTGCTGGCTGGTGGCCTGGGCCTCCCTCTGCAGGGCAATCATGGGATGATGGCTGGGCCCCTGATCAATCGCATGGGACCAACCTTGGCTGGCCTGACACCAGTGGGTGTCATAACTTGATCTGGAAGATCATTTGGTCATCCGGTCTAATTAACATATTACACTCTTATTATTATAGAAGATTATTATAGATTAAAAAATTTTTTTTAAACAAATCAACTTAATTGTGCATGATTTTTAAAAATATATATCTGCACCTCTATAGCGATGTAGAAAAATTTCACTTAGCATTCTTGGAACAGCTACTGCTTTTTTAAAAATCTTAAATTTTGGTTGGAGACAAGGAGTCACACCATTTGTTCAGATTAATAATAAGAGTTGATGTGTATCAAGCTCTGATTCTGGGCCAGGCGAGTACTTCATCTAAAGACAAGTGCATATAGTAGTTAAAATCTGGCTCAGCTATCTGATGACTCTGAGTTTAAATTTAGCGTTAGCATTTACTCATGTGTGTCTGCTGACAAGTGAGCCAAACTCTCTACTCCTCATTTTGCTAATTTGAAAATTGGGAGTAACAGTTGAGCTGCCCCCATTGGTTGCCTTAAGATATAAAGAAAATGATGCCTGCAACCTTTTAAAGAGTATGAGGGCCTTAGTGCACCCTCCACCTAGGCTCTATGTTCTTTTAGACAGAGAACACATTATTTAAATAAATTGCTTCATTTAAGACTAGAGATTTTCCCCATTTCTAACATTTCTAGAGGGTGTCTTCTATATATAATGATATATATAAAAGTTAAATACTTGCTTATCTTCATACTTACCTCATCCTGTCTCACATCATTACCCTTCCCCACAACACTCAATTTCGAACAAGGTCACACAAAGAAAGTTACCTTGGACAATGTCCTTTGGATTCAAAGAACTATGGCTAACAGTACTGTCCTGAGGGCGCACACAGGTGTTCTTCCACATAAAATAATGCCCTTCCCAAATCATGAGTAGCCAACTGTGTGCATAAATTCTTCCCTAAAGATATCATTCCTCATCCTTTAACACAATATTCCAAGCTATGGAGAGCGTCAAATGCTAGCATTTCTCTACTATTAACAAAAACTGCCAAGCCAAAATGTCTCAAAGGTTCGGTTGAGGGTACAAACCAGGATGCTGTCATTGTCTGTTTAGGAAGGACTCTAAGGCTTTATAGATCTGAAGAAACCATTTGAATAGTTCAGCAATATGATTTGAAAATTTCAGTTGGTTTGCCTGTGTTGCTGTTAACATCATTTGAAAACTGGAAGAAGGGGAAAAAGTACCTCATGATAATGGCAGAGTGGATTAAGTGTGAGAAAGTCTCCCTAAGGACTCAGCAAAGATCAGTGTGAGAGCTTGAGTTCACATAACGTCCTCATGCATGGCTGTGTAAGGGGAACAAACAGCTCACTAATTATCCTCATCAGGGACATGATGCAAACGCCACTGGGGGAGAGGGACAATAAAAAAAGGAATATAAATGCCTAAACCCCAGATTTTTATTAAAATAGAGTGAAAGGAACCTAAAACATATGAGCTAATAAGTCTGAAGAAAAAAATTCAAGCTGAAATATGTGTAAAAAAAATAGAGTCTGGAAAATGAAAGAAACAAACCAACAAACAAAACTGATCTTAACATTGGTTTTGTGACTATTTAAAAGGAAAAGAAATGGTTTTAAATGAAAACTAAAAGTAATGGAGCAAGGACAATTTAGTCAGATTATCAGAAAAACGTTTCCTACCAATACAACCTATTAAAGTAGAGAATAATTTCCCCAGAGAATTAAAGTTCCTTCACTTGATTATTTTAAGATTAGACTAGACAAACCACTGGGAAATGAATAGTTGGAGGTTTCAT